AAATTGTGATAAAGCCTATTCAGCAATTATCTCTAACGAGTTGACGTCAAAATAGTAATAACACATTTCTGCTTGCTATTGTTTTCTTCAATCATTCTGATCGTGCTTGGAGCAATTGAAGAAAATTGCAGTCAAGCACATTTTCTATGTACTGTTTGCAATGTGGTGCATTCTGGATGATACCAGTTTTTTCTTAATTATACTGACAAATTTCAATAGGAAACAATATTGTAGAACACGCAAAGTTAATTAAAATCTGAACTTAAAAAGTTTGACCTCTGTCGATTTATTAACAATTAAAATTTACTTACTGGGGAATTTCTTGTCGTTATTAGTTCTTCGGGCAGCAACGGGACTTTTCAAATAAAATAATCGCATTAATTAGTAAAATATGTATTCAATCGATCATAGGAAAAATTGAATTGATCAAAGAAAAAAATAGTGTCATTGAACAAATGAATCATTGCGCGCTGGAAACGCCATGAATATTTTTACATTTTTATATTAATATTTGTTGGAGTGTCTAAGACTTACTAGTCCTTAAATAGAACTGGCGTACATTCACTTTAGAACTAACCCTTGACACTGAACCCAGTCGTCTAAATTTAGTCAACTATTTCGCGTACAATTGCATCGTTAATCTGGGTTTAATTGGAAGCAGTTTGCGCTTTTCAACTGGAAAAGTCAAGAAATCACCAACAATAGAAAAAAATATTGAAACTTACCAGAGCAGTTTTGCAGAAAAATATCAAAACACGTGCGCTAAACATTGAGAACGCGGGCAATTTTCTGAATGGTGCAGTTCATACTATAAGCACACATTCCTATTGACGTCAGTTCACATTCGCGTATTTTAAGAATCGTGATAAAGTAATACAAATATTGTGTAAACTTTTACAAGTTGCATCATTCTAAGTGAGTGCTTTCCAAAAACTCACATGTTGAGGTCGTTTTGTTTGCTTTTTGCCAATGAAAATCGTAGCCACACGGGATGGACTTGGGAAAAATTTGAAACTGACCGGATGAAGAGCGGTAGGCAGCAACTGTGTTTTTTTCGATCATAGTATCACATATTTTCAGCACCAAAAACACTTACAGACTGAATCTGAGTCGAAATGTTAAAATTTCCAGGTAACTAAACCAATTAGAAATTATTCAGCAATTGATTTGCATGTGATGGTTAAATTGCGCTTTATCACAGGGAGAACAATGTCAGATTTCCCAGAAAATGCTTGAAAACAATTCTAAATGATGGGCGTAATGTCGCATTCTGTAGCACAGTAATGATTAGGATTTTCGCCAACTTTCATCTCCGGTTTGACCAAAGGACCGTTCGTTTTAATTTAATTTGAATATCGCGCAAAGGCTCTGATGATAAGAAGCTTTCGAAGGTTCTTATCGCGTAGGCAGCGAGTACACAAAACTGTATGACCCGATGAACATCTGAATTTGAAAAGCAGGAAAAAACCCTCTAATGTTTTAAATACCGATTGCTTTCAACATCAAGCTTGCATTCAGACTCAGAAATTCTTGGTAGAAAGCCGACAATGACTTTGAAAACAAATTTTGAGGCATCGAGAGATTGAAAACTTGCTTGTTTCTTGTAAAACATTATGTCTTATATATTGAAAATAATCTAGCAAATCAGGGCAATTTTCCAGGTGAACTGCGAAAAGTGCGGTTCACGCAATTGAATCGTTAGTTAAATAATATATTGACAATTTTTCGATATGATAATGACTCAAATTGTGGAAAAATGAGAATCTCCTGTTTGAAGTTGAGCGTATTCTGAGTTCAAAACTCATTGCAGTTGCTCATTATTCACTATAATCAGATAGAAAATTCTCTATTACTAGATGGAAAATTTATTGAATTATCGCCAATGAAAGCATGTAAGCATTATAAAAAGGTCTGTTTCCCAATACTTGCTCAACTATACTGCCATTGTTCCCTTCTAAAGCAATTCTTAACTGTATTGCAAAATCTGTTTTCGCTGTTTGAAATATTTAATGGTTTTTGCTACCGCAAACTGAATCATTTTCGTAACTTGAAATTATTTTATACAAAATGCATATATTTTTAATGTTCAACACCACGATTATTTCAATCTTAATTATGTTATTTTTGTGAGTTTGTCTTATTAGTTATTGTGGAATTGAGCGTCGCTAACTATTGAAGATTTTGAATTAAAATTATGAATTTCATCATTTCATCATCTTCCATTGTATGACTAACAACTGTTTTCCAGGCATATTTAAAGAACGTACGTATTTTTTTTAGATTCTCTTTGTCAGTTCAAAATACAGCAACATTCAAAATGCGTACATTTATACAATCTTACGAACTTTTCAAATTTAATTATATTAATTTTTCCTCATTAGTTATGGGTTCTATCCTCTACTTTACATATTCACATTTTTTATTTCCTTCGCCTTTATCCTATATCTGTATAATATTTCATATCAGCGACAACAAATTTTAAATCAATCTAAAGTATTAAGTGAATGAACCCTTACCAAAAAAGTCTGCCGCTCACTGTTAAGAACAATATTCACTGCACATGTCTACATACAGACTGTGATAAATCCTACTATTCGTAGCCTTAATTATACAGTAATTTAAACGATATTATAATGAAACCAGACAATAGATAAACTTATAATTATTGTAAATTGATTCTATTCAAAAATTCAAACAACATTCAAGGTTAGCTTTGTAATTGGTACAAGATTTTTTTGGTAAGAATCTCCTACACAACTTGCTAGAAATCGGCTGATGAAATATGAATGGTTTTAACTGACCTGAAAATCTTACACGAAAAGGACAAGAAAAATAAATTTTCTACACCTCACGTCTTGATTCCCAGTTCAATTTCTGTTACTTACCAATCGGCTTAATGAACTCAAAAGCCTTCAACTGTTCAACAATCAAGTCCGATTTTTAAATTGGTCAACCGATGATTCTTAATCAAGTTCAGATCGAAAACTAAATCAGCTAAACTAGCAATTCGCTTGAAAGTAATTTACACCATCTGTTTAGCAATTGAACTGGAACACTTTTAGTTTTTGCAAACATATCAATCATGCCAGATATTTGACTTGCATTGGCTCAAAGGAAGTACATAGTAATTGGTTTTGTGACCTTAAATAATGCGGTAAATTATCGGGTTTTGTTATAATTAGTGTATCCCAATTATGCCCAATTAAAGCTGAGAAATGTTTGTGGTATAACATGTGAGAAATTTGAAAGCAGCCAGTGTTAAAACAACTGTGGCTCAATTTACAGCGCGAATCAAAATATTTCAAATATTACTGGGTACGTTAGTCAAGAATTTAAGTTCTATATATTGTTTGAGTTTTGAGTAAAATAAAATCTCTCAAAGTCCATGTACATCAAAAGAGAATCCAAGTGATATGAGCTAAAGAGAATCAATGTTGATTAATGTTAAATGTGAAGAAATTTAATAGAGAGCTTCAAGTTATTCCAACAGCTTCGGTACTGAATTTGCAAAGAACACCTTGTATATAAGCAAACTAATGCCACTACAAGACAAAATAATCGGTTTTTACTCAAGTGTAAATTTTATAATTGAATGCTCAAGTTCCGCATTTTCGGTAAGTTAATAACAATGACATTTCTGCACTTCCAGTTTTTTCTTGTTAAATCTCAAAGTCATGATAAAAACGCTCATTCTCACTCATTTATTAAATATAAAATATATAAATGTAATTAAAATAGTTGATCGGCGAAAGAGATTTTAACGTCTGGTTTGCATGCTTGGGGGAAGAAACGTTAAAAGCAGCTTGAATTAGAAACGATTTTTTCCTGAGAGCTTAAAGCATGCGTCAAGCTACATATCGACCAAATTTCAGCTCTAATTTTTCAGGCGCTCCTGAACTTGTGGCTGAAAGTTGCAGTTAATGCTCCAAGCTCTCAAACGAATGAGAAACAGTGGTCGTTATTCACATGTATTCCTTCGCGAATTTAAAAGCTTTCCTTGTTTCTGAGCTCATTTGATTTGTTTAATTTTTAAAAGCTTCCCAAATTTGAACTTGAATACAGCAAATAAGGTTTGTAGGATGTCCTGAATGTGCTCGAATTTTTATTGAGGTTACTGAAGTTAAGGGTCGCTTTTAAGTATCGGAAAAAAATGTTTGCCAACCCTTTGCTGCTGTCACCCAAACCCTTGCGCACGAATGTATCGATTTAAAATAAAATATTTACGTAATTAAATGAATATATCACTTACCAAAAGCACCGGAGAAGTTCGTATTATTCCATTAACCATCGCCACTGTTCTTCACCCAATATCCAAACTAGTAAATGAAAAGTGACTTTCAGCTGACTTCACTCGACAACCAATTTTATTGGAGTCCCTACATCTTTAAGCTTAGACGCGTTTTACGCCCACTGTTTACTAATTGGATTAATTAAACCTTTCATCCTTTAAAATCCGATAATCTTGACGAGAATTTACACAACATCGGCCGTTGCAACGATAGCAGGAAGACCAAAAAACTCCCCTTTTTTCAAGACGAGTATTAGATAACTAAATTTGAATATGCAAAAAGACTATATTTCCTCAAGAAAGGCCGCAATTGCCAAATAGGAAACGAAGCAAAAAACACTGTTTGAAAATTATTGCTAATAAATTCCGATGTATTGACTTAACTTAAAATGCCTAGCTTTCTAAATGCCGGGTATTTAATTGATATTTTGCTATATAACATAGTTTAGATATTGGTATCTTTTAAATAAACATATGACGAACTGAATATTTTTCCTAAGTCGTCCGGTATAGAAAATTAATTAAAATTAAACAATTACAACGGAAGGCAATAGGATCTCAAAACAAAAATGACAAAACAGAAGCATTTTCGACAAAATCTATTTTAATAACAAAATAAACCTTTGAGGCTGACAGGACAGTAATAAATAAAATAACTATTGTCGTCTGGCTGAGACGTTTTTAACATTTCTATATACATAAATCCTCCATAAAAGTCCATCACTTGAACAAACTTGATGCCTAATTATATACAGCTATCATGGCAGAAGCCGTCGGTCTTATTTGCACGTAATTTTCCAAACATTCATTAGAACGCTGTTTAAAAATTGCATAACGTTAGAGTATTTTTCCATGGCAAGTAGACACTCATTTCGTGGTTAAAAATTTAGAATCAGTCTTTATCTAAACATTCTAACTAAAGTATTATGTACACTTCCGTGTTCAAGCCTTCCGGTAATTAAAGCAGGAAAAACTCGGGTCCTATATAGTCCCCACAGGTGGGAAAATTGGACGGTGTTGAAACCATCTGATGTCTTTCTCCCACTTCTATAGCCAGGTCGAGACCTTTGCTCCATCCATGGGAATTTTCATCTCTTAGCATCCAAATGCCTGAAAGGATGTTGTTAATTAAATCTCTTATAGACACTATTTATTTGAATGTTACCTGGGTTTTTTGCAAGAAACCTTAGAATGACTACACCAAATCTCGGGATGCGAATGGTGTCTTTTAAAACTGGATTATTCAGATTTCTCTTCAGCAAACTGCCAGCCTGATCCAGTTCTCGAATTTCTTTTCTGCTCATCGGACGCTCAAACTGTCGAGATCCGACAATGTAGAAATGGTTCCCGTGGAAATGCAGAATATGTTCATCATCACCACCTGAGTGGGATTTTCAATAGGCAAAGATCAATATTTTTATACTAAGACAATGATTTTTCTACCCGCACCTTGTTCAACTATCATTATTTCCACCGATGTTCCAAGGTCGACAGCTTCCAAATGGACACATTCGCAAATATTCCTTTTCTGGCATTTTTCCGGAATGGATAATTCGTTACAAATCAAATTTGATGGAACATCCATCGGTTGAGTGAGCAGGGGAGAAGCCGGATAACTGAACGTCAAGTTATTGATTCGGTAAATTTTCTTCCGAAGATCCGCATACTGTTCTGAAAGTAGACGGAGCATTCAATGGTATTATGAGGACGGTTTGAGTTATTTCATCCGATGGTTTGAGCCTGAATGAAAATATCAATTTATGTGTTTGCTTCCTTTACGTAAAAACCTGTCGTCGATCATGTGGCGAGTTGGAGTAAAGAGTTGGATCAAAATCTGTTTCAGCTTTTAGTGATGAACAGCAGATTAATAAATAATACCCAAACTGCTTAATATCTTAGCTGGTTTCAGAGCAACAAAAAATTCGAGCCGAAAGTTTCTTATATAACTAGCATCAGTTAAATTTCCCTCTCCTGTTCATGGACTTTCAGTTATTTAGCTGAGCTTGCAAGCAACATATGAATTTTGACTTGTTCTGATGCCGTTTTCTACTAATGGAAAAATTTATTTTCGACTATCACAAGTTTGATTACATTTTCATATTCACACGATATTTATACTGATACGTGTTTAATTAACCTTTCAAATGCAAATATTGACTGGTCAACGGCATCGACCTTAAGATTGAAGCGTATTGGCAAAAAAATAAAACATTTTCATGTTTCAAACGTTTCATCGTGCCCGCATTCTTAACGATTTATAAACCAGCCTACCGTAATCTGTTTCCCGTTCTCCATACTTGTAATCAATCGCCAAAAAGATGTTTCGATCAACCGTCTCTTTTCGCAGCTCTTTCGGCATTTTATCCAACGATTTAACATCACCCAAACAAACTTTGCCAGATTCGGTTCGGCAAAGGGATGTGTCGAAATGCCTCTTCAATTTAGTATTCTTTTCACCTCCATCGTTTGCGATTTTTCCTCCTTTTTTCTCAGTCCCTTTTGGGCGACCTTCGTAGTTGATCACGGCTAATCCATGCAAATCGCTGCTTTCACAACTGGATCTGAAACATCCGAAATGAAAAACGTGTCGAAGTTATCATTTCGTTGCGAATTTTCAAATGGAGTTTCAGTTCTCAAAATTATAACTTGGCAAGGCTCGTACTTAACACTCAAATAATACGCGCCGATTTCTTGGCTAGCTTTCAAGATAAAATCTATTCGTTCTCCCTTGGAGATGCGAATAGAGCTGACTTCGTGAGGGTTAGTCGGATTTCCATCCAGTTCAATTATTTTCAGTAAATGATTGTCAACCGTTAAATTGACGGGACATCCAGATAAGCCGCTAGTGTAGGCCACTCTGAAGCGGTGTCTTCTGCCAGGTTTAACATTAAACATTGTCAAGCTTGATCCTCTTTCGCTTGGCGCTTTACCGTTGACCAGCAGGGCTTTTGATAGGTCCCTATCTGTTGGCGAAGGATGGCTGAAATCACCTACGAAAATCCAATGGTTCAAGATGGAACACTTTCAGAAATCTTCATCCGATTACAGGTATATTGATTGAGCAAAATTATCTCAGCTAATTATACAGATCATAAATGAAATATTGTGCTAGATCAAGTTCGATTAATACCAGTTTAAATGATCTTTTATATTTTCTATGACTAACGCGCTCAACGTGCTTAACTGCCAGTAATTTTTCCAATGTCAATTTATCAAAGTCAAATGCTTCAGTTTTTAATTACATTTCAGACGCTGCCAATTTATTAAATTTATTTGTATTATTGAGTAGCAGTACTTTTGCTCTGGGAAGCATTTTCAACATAATTTCCACTTCCAGTTAAAAAAAAACATGTGAATTTTTACTGGAGTCACTCATGTTGGCTTAACAAGCCCTTAGAATTTGCAGGGGACGGAAAATTTCCTTACCAGACCATTCAGAGATCAAAATATAGTGATCTTTCGAATCCACATCGTACATTTTTTTGCTAGGCTCAGTTCGATCAGATTTCCGCACAATTAAGGCCCCGAAAAGGCCATTAGACCGATCAGCATCCATGTAGGCGTGATAAAAGTGCGTTCCAGGCTTCGATGCTCTAAACTTGTATTGAAACGTGGTGTAACTGGGAATGGGGCATTGAGTGACCTGGAAAAGTTTATTTTTAATTTGGCTAGAGGTAAAATCAGGACGATTAAATTGAAAAATTTCCAAAAAACACGCACGTAAACCGTATCAAATTTCCCTGCTTAAGCGGTCCCAAAGCGAGCTCCTAGTTTGCGTAATTTACATTGTTATCGCTTTCTTGGAAAAAATGTACTAGACTCAAATAAATCTCGAAGTTGTGTCGAACTTTTCGAGCACCAAAGTTACTTTTTTAATTCTTCCATTCTCATTAATTTTGAACTCTTTGAGTCTAGTTTTTGCCCCGAATTTAAGTAGTTGATAAATCACCTCATTTATTACCATTTTACCCTGGACCAACCATGTGCAAGTACACAATTTTAAAGAACAGTAAAATCGCCTGGAAATTTCAGGGCTATTTTAATAGGAAATTGTGAATTTTCGGCAAGTGATTTTTGCATTCCACTCTTGAATCAGCTGGAATTTATCAGTAGATAATTTGTGAGGTGAAAGAATCGAAATCAGGAGACCTCGACAGAAGGCGTTAATCGAATTATTGGGAGAAAAACTGCCGCATTTGATATTAATAGATAATTCTTGGAGCTCCATTGTTTTTCGATTCACCACTTTGACCGCATATTTGTCACACAAGGAACAAAATTGAAAGTCGGTTGTTAAACATCTATTAAAAACTTTTTAGCTGCTCTATTGATCTTCTGCTGTAAAATGGCTTTAAAAATTGTTTGCTTTAGGCAAATTTGCTGAAAGAACGTTTCTAAACGTTGCAAAAATTGGTAGATTTTGCGAAATATGAAGTCAAACTTTCTGTGCTGAAGACCCAACAAAGGAACTAACATTTAGTTGTGTATGCAAGCAATTAGCACGGTAAACCGAAGATATGTGAATAAATTCGTTATTTTACCCAACACATGAACAATGAATACACATTTCTACTAAACAAGTCATAACTCATAATTTTCTAAGCTGTCTTTAGACTCGTAAATAACGAAAGCAATAAAGTTATTCATTATTTATGAATTTGCGCAGTATTTGATCAGTGTACATATGGTAGCAACTGTTGTAGTAGATTATCTGCTAATCTGATCAGCGGTTGTTTAACTTAAATGTAAATACGATTAAAAAAATGTGTTTTTTTTTTTATTTCAACTGAAATTTGGGATCCCAAAATGAGGAAAACACTTTTTGCGCAAAATGTATTAAAACTTCTGTACAAATTCAACTTAGAACACAATTTTAAACAAAAAAAGACAACGATAATGAAAAAAAAAACGTTATAATCATATAGTAAATTGAAAAAGTTGTACGTAGAAATTGTAGTAAAACTAATAAATTGCAAGTTTAAATAAATAAATGTAAAGATAATGAAATCAAAACCAATTGTAATCATGTTTACTTTGCAAAATTTGAACCGAAAAGTTGTGGTAGACAAAAGATAATAAATTGCTTGCATTGATTCATTTCCATCTAAAAACAATTCTAGATCCCTCATATTTGCAGACTTTCATTATCCCGCTTCAGACAACCGAGTTGAAAACTTTACTTATGTTTTCAGTTAGCGTTTCCGCCGTTGACCTTAAAAGCAGAGATCGTATTCCTGATCTGGTATATAAAATTCTTAAATTATATTTATAAAACAACCACTAAGTCCACGAAAATGATGGAAGTTGCTTAAATACAGAATCTAGTCTGAGTCTGAGAATCTAAATGACGCTCTGTTCTCCATTAAGAACTTTTGATAAGGAAAATTTAGGAGTAAATTTAGAACGTTTCTAACTATCAAAGAATCCTGCGAAATTAGTTATAAAATTAATAAACATGAATTTAATTAATTCATACGAACCATCGGGACGCCGTCCATAAAAGGAGCTTCATGGTTTGGTTGCCCTCTCCAATGCAAAGTGACGCTTTTTCCAGGAACCCGATTAATCACATCCACAATCAGAATATCATTCTGGCAAACTTGAATCGGCGGTCCAGGAATTTGCCTGTTTGCAGTAATGATTGTTCTGGGATTACTGGCTTCAGTCATTTGGCAAAAGATGTTGTTGCAACTGGAAAGGGGATGCGAAGAATTTCTGCGACAGTCTTGACAAATACTGGAAAATTATCAAACGGTCTTCAGCATGTTTCATAGGAAAGTGCCTGTTAAAAATATTAATAAGCACGCTACTTACTGATTATCAGTATGATACATTTCGATGTTAAGCTTAATCCTACATATCATTGGCCAGTCTAATTCATGGCAGGGCCTATCACAGCTTTTAAAGTTTTGATCTGAAACAAAGCGCAACTCAGTGGATGTTTAACTAAGAGTAGAGAGCTCTAACGAAATATGCCACTAGAGCAAGGATTAGCAAAAACCCGGCCTAAGAAATCTAGTCCCATTTCTAGTTAGGTTTATATGTCAGATTATGCCCTGAGGCTTAATTACATGTATTCATATGCAGACAATAAGGTACAGTTTTTTTGTATTAATTAATAATAATAGGTATTTCAGAAAGTAATGAGAATGCACACGGACTGTCGCCGCAGCTTTTAATTAAGGACAAAGTCAAGTATATTTACAATCATGGCTAAAGCCGATTGAAGATGTAAATAAGCACAAATAAACAAATGGCCTTTATTTCCGAGAGAAAGTTGGCTGAAGAGAAACGGTACTTGTCATCCGCAAGAGGTGTATCTTGGGTTGGAGATGTATCAATGTAGCACATTGGAAATAACTTTTACCTAAAGCAACATTTATTTATTCATCGAATTAAATTGATACTTGTAAAGGTCATCATTGTGGACAGATGATTGTTCAAGTGAAATTTTTCACTGGGTTGAATGCATACATAGATAAGTGTGGGCAATTGGGGCTTTTTGGAACGGTATTTCGATTTATAGAAAGTGAAGGCTTGCAAATCAAAACATAAGTTTTCCATTAATCACATTCAGGAGCTGGAACATTGCTTTCTTCTAGTTATGTAAGAGTTTCATCTGGGAGTGTACATTTCTCTGAGCAACAAATCTCACGCTTACTAAAACATGCAGAAAAAAGGAAAATCAATATTGTTCTTAGTACTTATCAGCCAATTACGACCAACAAAGGAGTGTCTGTAAATTAGTGAAAAAGCGGAATCTATTATTTAAAAAAATCCATTTCCTATACTCTTCAGCCAATTCATTAGCTATTGCATAAAACATCGAAATTAATGTGTTCGGTTAACATTCAGTATATGTAACAGCTTGTAAAGTCGAAGGCAACGTCGAAAACTTGTGTAATCGGCGATTCTTAATGGGAAAGAAAAGTACAGTATTTGGACAGTGATATAACACGAATTATTGCACCGTAACACGATGTCTTCGCAGAAAATTTCACATTTTAGTATGTTTGAATACTCGGCGTCGCCATTAGCAGCTTTGAAATCAAATAAAATGGTTTATCTTCAAGGCTCTGTTGATCTAGATATTGTTTGAGTACTTAAATATTGAATGTGCATGACCGAACTGACCTGAAATCTTAATATACATTGTTTGGATACTAAATTATTAGCTGGATTAATATTTCTTTTAAAAAAGGCAATTAAGAGTAGTAAAACTCTTCAAAGCTATTTGATACTTTCCAGAATTCTGGGAACTGAAAGCATTATTGAAATGAAAAAGAGTTGAGTCGAAATGGATAAATGCTTGCCTTTCGGCGGGGAAAAATTCCGAGATTAACTGAAACTGAAAAATTGAAATGTGCAAACGGGGCCAAACAGTTTTCAATAAAAAAAAACTAGCAAAAGTAGAAGTAATAAAGTAAAAATTGCTTCAGTACTTTAAGTGGCAATTTGTAAGCCTTTACAAAATCCGATTAACTTAAAGAATTGTAAGTCGAAGGCTATAAAATTCAATTACTACGCGATTTACAAGTTCAAACTTGACGCCTTAGAACGAAAAACACGTTCCGTTTGCTTAAAAAATAATGCAAAATTACTGGGAAATTGGATGATGAACTAAAACAAAGCAACATATAACAGTTTAGACCTTGAGCTGGAACAAAGTTGCTAAAACGCATTCAGAAAATGGCTAATACATGGCCATGGTGGTAATGTGGTAATTTTTCTGATAATGAAGCTATTTGCATGGGATGATCCGAAAGAAGGGGCACATTAGACAATAGACAGGCCATAGACTATAAGTTAGGTAAGTTAGTAATAATCGCAGGGCAATTAATATTTCTTCTTGTATCTAAACTCAACAATATAGATTTTAAACAAAATATTTTTCAATTTCAACAATAAATTTCCTATTCAAAATGTGAATTTCTCTTATCATTGATTTAAAAAAATATATGCATAGTCAAGTACCATCTGGCAAAATGGGGCCAAAACTACAATAAAAACCCAGAAGTCAAATCGAAAACAAAACATAAACACACCCATTTTTCAAAAAATGCTTCGGTCGATTTACATAAAAAAAAGTTCTAATATCCAGTCGGTAATAGTTAATCGTAAATTATTAGAGCCTTAATCTGACTTGTTTTGGAATTTAAAAAACTCGTTTCAGGACCGCCGGCGTTTTGAAAACTTGTCTTAAATCTTCATATGTTTCATATTCCAAAGCGTACCTCAACCTGGATGCTGATGTTTTTTACATATCCGGTGCAAAAATCTAGTTGAAGCACTGTAACCAAAACTAAGAATTGCAGTTCTTTTTACTGAAAACGCGAAAAACTGAATCCACTTTAATCCGCTCGTTCAGAACATGTGAATGTAATTAAATAGAATAATATACAATCACTGTAAAGAAAATTATATACGATTTTGTCCGGAAGTCCTCGATTTTTAGCTATTTTAATATTTCGGGACTAACTCGAGAAATAATTCACAAGTGTCTGGAGTAACACAGAAAGCTTAGTGAGCGGGAAGAATCAGGCGCAACTAATAGAAACGGTATACTAAAAAATCGAAAAACACAACAAAACAAATAAAAATTATACACTAAAACAAGCTTACAGAAAGTTTTTCCACAACGGGCAAGTAATAATTTAAGCATTATTAAAGAATGAGCCATAATAGAAACAAAGCTCTGAAGAAGATTAAGTCTTAGCCCAGTAATTAAATACAATTAAGGAAAAGTTTTGAACATTTTAAGCTGTTACACCTTAAACAAAATGATCTCAAGTCCAAGTTACTAAAGTAAAACGCACCACAGTACAATCTCTAAGGAAATTAGAACTTTATAACATATTCCGTTTCAGTTTGCACTTATTTGGGTTAATTTTAGTTAGATTGTTGAAGGACAGGCCTCTAATTAGCACTCAAACACCTCAATGGCGATAAGCGCGCTAGTGCACAAAACACGAAATCAGCAGTAATTTGTAAAGTTCAGAAGATTTATCTATTGGCTGATTTGTGAATGCTGCAAATTTGATTGAAATAAAGTATTTTTTGTCAATTGGATACTCAATTGATAATTAGAAAACGTCGGGAATTGTATGAATTGTGCGCTAATCAGCAAAAACTGATTTCTTCATCGCTTTCTTGCAACTTTTAAAAATCATTACATAGAAGTTCATTGGGACATAATCAAAAGTGATTTAAACGCATTTCACAAACTCGAATTGAGCGAATTATTTTTTCGTAACATGCACATATTTACGTGCATGCCAATTTCACTGAATTTTCAATAAAACAAACTCGTAAAAGTAGAGCTATTAAAATAAAAATTGCTTCAGTACTTTAAGTGGCAATTTTTTTGCAATAGCCTTTTCAAAATCCAATTATCTTAAATAATTTTAAGTCGAAGGCTGTAAAATTTAATTACTACGCGATTTACAAGTTCAAACTTGACGCCTTAGAACGAAAAACATGTTCCGTTTGCTTCAAAAATAATGCAAAATTGCTAGTAAATTGTATGATGAACTAAAAGTAAAAGAAAGCAAAATATAACAGTTTAGACACTTGAGTTGGAGCAAACTCATTTCAATTTGAAAATTTGATTTTTTGCAAAAATGCATTCAGAAAACTGCCAATACCATTTTTGGTGGTAATTTTTCTGATAATGAAGCTATTTACATGGGATGATCCGAAAGCACAGGCACATTTTCTTATCTGAGGACTTTATAGACAATTAATAGACTGTAAGTTAGGTAAGTAAGCAAGTCCTAGAAGCCCAGTAATTAAATACAATTGAGGAAAAGTTTTGATAAATGTAAAAAGTTACATCTTATACAAAATGATCTCAAGTCAAATTTGCTATAGTAGAACGCAACAGAGGACAGTCCCTAAGGAAATCAAAAGTACAAAGACGAAATTGGGAAAATAATGAATAAATACAGCACGCCAAAAGTTTCGAAGAAATGTGTGCATTAGCTGATTATTTAGCTAAAGTGCCACTTTCAGTACCTTATAACATATTCCGTTACAGTTTGCACTTATTTGGGTTAATTTTAGTTAGATTGTTGAACGACAGGCCTCTAATTAGCACTCAAACAACTTAATGGTGATAAGTGCACTAGACAGATGCAATACTTGAAACAAACATGAAATCAGCAGTAATAAGTTAAGAAGCCTACAATCTATTGGCTGATTTGCGAATGCTGCAAATTTAATTGAAGTCAAGTATTTTTTACTCAATGGATAATTAGAAAATGTCGGAAATTGTATGAATAATGTATTAATGCGCGCTAATCAGCAAGAATTGATTTCTTCACCGCTTTCTTGCAACTTTGAAAACTTATTACTAATAAGTACTTATAACTAGGACATAATGAAAAGTGATTTTAACGCATTTCGCAAACTGTGATTGGGCGAATTATTTTTTCATAACATGCACATATTTACGTGCATGCCAATTTTACTGAGTTTTCCCTTAATGAGAAAGCAAGGACAGTACATTGAGTTAGCAAGTAAGTCAAATGATAGATTGATGCGGAACGGTTTTAGCAATTAAATAAGTTTCTTTGTATCATTCGCATTGCTCTGTTAAATCAATAATCAAATGATCAAATTTAAAAAAAATCTTACCTGGCATCGGAGTGAAATAGACAACTGTTAACACTGCCGCCACCATCCCTAAGACTATACATAATCGGATCAAAAGACTTTGACTAGCTGACATGTTGATTTCCTTTCTATTGTTGTTTTTTTCTTCACTTTCCACCATACCAAAATCAGTGTCTTACAAAATCGAAAATATTCAGGGCACTTGCACAAGGCAAAAATTTCAAGCATACAAAATGCCTTTGAGGAAAAGTGACATACTGTCTTAGTGAGTCGCTCTAAGGCCAGCTAAGAAGAGTGGTGCATGTTAATGACAAAACGTACGACACTGAGTGCTTCTAATGGTAAGGTTTTGCACTCGTGCGTGCACTAAGCTTGCAAACCCAACCAGCGACCGTAGGAAATGTTATGAAAGAAGAAAGGTGGAAGGAGTCAACCAAGAAAGAGCATTACGACAAACCATCAGGAGTGATTTGTGCCAAAAATACGGGGGGGGCTTTATTGAAGTTTATTAATGCCAATGGAATTGAAGAATTCCAGACAGAATTCCGACCTGATTGCAAGCTTTTATTCGAACTATTTTTAAAGCCCCAGTCCACAGTAATATTAAAGAGCATTTGAAAGGATTTTTAACATGACTTAAGTGGCATTCAACATTTTTATAGAAGACGATTTAAGAATATGATTCTCAGAGCGAGAGCGGGAAAACATTCTTTCGCTAGATAGATTTTTTCAAATGTCTTTTGCCCGGAACATCTAGTTTCACTTCAACATAATTTCTTTGCAGCAATGCAATTTACAATCGAAACAATTAAATACTGAAATTAGAGCAGATTCAATTAAATTGCTTTCTGCAAACAAACATAAAGCAAATCAGCATGAGCAACCGACAGAAAGCAGCAATAAATTACACTGCAAACAGGTTGCAGTTTTACACTACAAACTGTTGACCAACATCCAACTATTTCAATCCCCTCGTAGAAATTAGTGTATTATATAATCCATAACGCGAAGCCATAAATGCAGACCTGACCCGCGGAGTAAAAGGGAAAGTCCATTTTTATCGGCTTAAGAATGAACATGTAGATACCTCAAGAGCCGGAAGCTGTTATCAATACTGACTGTTAAAAATTTAATTTAGAAAAATCCAGGAAATTTTCTTACCTTTTTGCTTGTACTGGATGAATACTCAACTTGAGTATGGACAGTGTATTTTTTTTTTATTTTTAGGTCTTGAACTGACCACGGCATGTAGAAAATAAATCTCTAGTAATTAATGTTTTAAAGCTAACATTTTCCAAAACTACTACTCTTGTTAAATGTTATTTTCAAGAGATTTAAGCGTACATAAAAAAGTACAAGCTTCATTAATCGCAATTGAATTATCTATGGGGACAAGAAGAAAGTTTAGCTGAAAGCGATTCAAATAGCTTTTTTCCATGTTTTATGGCGCCAGTTAACACTGTAACAATTACCAAGATTTTAAAATTCTTTGGACAGTAATGCGTAAATGCCCCATAATAATTTAACTAAAATCTTCTCAGTAAAAGCTATTTAGGACACACGTAATTAATAGCACAGCATTCAAATGGCCAAAGAAATACAATAATTTCAAGTCACATTTCATGCTGTGTTGCTGGTTTCGTTTAGCAACTCTCTTTAGAAATTGAAATGTAAATAACCATCAAACCATCTGTAAAACATGTTTCGTTTTAGCGTCTCTCAGATTTAATCAGTTAGGTTTATTTGACTCTGATACTTCATCAATTTGAAAACCTGACCTGAAGAAGAAAGCATGGTTGAGTTTTTTGGGTCCAATAGAAATCCTGCGTTTTTTCTCAATACTTTTCACTCAGGAATTTGATTGCTTATCATTGAGGATGTCAATTAATCATTGGCTTTAAAAATGCAACATTAAACTTGGATAGCCATTAACAAGTGGATTATGTAGAATTTTTATCTCCTAAACGCTTTTCAGCAAATGAATCACATTTAAGAGCATTTAATGAATAATTCATGAACGCCCAACAGAGGCTGAAATTAACTTAAATGCCTGAAGGATTTACATTGTTTTTCCGACAAGATTCGGTGATTTGTGAATAAAAACAAATCAGCTGAAAAAATCAATATTCCTATTTCAACGTGTTTTTAATGGTAATCTAATGACCAACAATTTTTCCTTCAACTGTGTATTACAACGGGTCTATTTTCCAATCACCTAGCAGGAATTGGAAACCATTAGATACTGATTTATTGCTGCAAATTTTAAAAGGAACTGAAAATTTGTATGAAAATGTGAAAAATTATGTACTAAGTATTGGCGATATTATGCCGACTTTTAGAAAGCTCACTATATTTTCTCATCAGTTGATTAATGTGGCAAGCGCTGACTTAGTAAATTAAAATTGAAGCGTTGAACAAACGCAACTGATTTTGATCACTTTCAACGAAAAAAATGTTGTTTGCAGTTTTTTCAAATGCGGATTTAATCTCGCTAATTACGAAAGTTTTTATCTTTTCCTTCTTTTTAAGCCGCAAATTAATAAATTGTTTATTTAATTTGCAAATAATTTGCAAAAAAGTTCTTACATTTCAACAACAATACAAATTAAATGTTAGCAAACTTTTCGAAACAACAAAAGATTCTCAAAAGCAGAAAACACACAATCACGTGAAAAGCGAAATTTTTAAACCCACTTTTCCATGAAATAATGGTGTTTGTAAATTCAATTTAATGACCAAATATGCACGTGATTCGGCCAAAGAAGGTAACTTGCTATACAATCTGGCTTTTCTCTGCTCTTGTGCTCCACTGACCTCTTTCGTGGTGTTTCGCGATTAAATTTTATAAAAATGGAAATATTCAACCGTAGGAAAATACCGAAGCATCACGAATATGCAATTTGTGCGATTTCACATCTCCGTTCTATTCCAAGACAATTAATGCATCGCTCATCCAGTAGAAAAAAGGGTGGCAAGCAAGGTTGAGCTTACATGATTAATAATCAAATCGTTAGCAATAAACCAGGAAAAAATTATTGTGCCACATGGATTGCACAGTAAGCGTCATTCATCAGAGCGAAAGAAACAATAAGAAGAATACGCTCGAAAGCCAAACTTTCTTGGAAAATGAAAGTTAAAAAGAAACAAACAAGATGATCGGCAGCTACACACGTGCAAACATAAAACAAGATGTTGGATCAGACCCAGATTCCATTCAGTACTGTACGGTATATTTTTACTGTATTAAAAAATAATTTAATTTGGTCTTGAAACTCGTGTGGTTTTTTTGTCTTTGAGACCAGGAAAAAATTCTATTCCACGACTAGTTTCAAACAATGACTGCAAAAATATAACTTGTTAAATGTGCTTTCTTAATTCAATATAAAATTTCAACATAAAAAACCGACATTAGTTTTCTAATGATGCGTTTTTTCCTTGATTTCTCATGTGCCACAGATACAGTCTATATTACTACATTTCCAAAAAAACTCTTTCAAAGTTTAACCATATTAAAAACGTATTTTATATTTTATTTTTTTAACTCTCTGAATGAATTAGACAATTCAACTTTTGTAAAATAAACAACGGTTTCCATGATAAGAACATTGAGAAGAAAATACATCGTGATTATTTAAAATAGCGAATCATCAACACATTCAATAATTCCTCTCGAAGATGCAGACTTTGTTTGATTACCTACATTTTTATCTCTTGTGAAGGAAGGAAAGCAGATTTGAACAAAAAAATAGTTTTTGAAAACTAGTTTATTTTTCAAAAAAAATAAAAATAAATTGATTAAATCACTAAATTGAAAAAACAGCCATATGAAAGCCAACATTACTGTTAATGCTTCCAACTACCGGGAAAATACAAAGGCATATCTAATGACCGTAATAAATTCTAATTAACCAAATGCGCACACCATTAGTGGTTAAAACATCAACTATTAATTACAAGAAATTATGTGATAGGCTCATTTGGGTCTGCACTATTTTGACCCTGGTTGGGTTTATGCATCCTAAGACTTTTCCTTGCAGAAAGCAACCTTGAACTAAATTCTCCATACTGACTTCCAATTGGTTTTCCAGCTTTTACCTCTTCTGATTGGTCAGAATCAGGTTTCTGAGACTCTGGGAAAAATCCAATTTTTTGCGTGTGGTTTGGTTACTGCCTTAATCCTTACTTACCATCTTTATCAAAAACATCATCATCTTCCTTCAGTGCATGCTGTTTTGGCAATCTTTCCAAAACCTGCCCCAAATGCTTCTCAAACTTCGCCAAATCTTTCACTTCATCGAAACTAGTGTGTGGAGCTCTCAACCGATCTTTTTCTGTTTTAGCCAGCAGAGTTCTGAGCAAATAGCAGAACGAAGCATCCATAACATCCTCCCAAGCCTAAATAGAGGACATAATATAGACTTCATAATAGGCAAATATGCAGTCTCTTTTTTACCTGTATATCTAAATCCTTCACATTGGTGCAAAACAGCGAACTAATCATGCTCATCAAATCCTTATCAACGTGAAGTAAATCGATCAACTGTTTTGCCAAATATAAGGCGCAAGCCAAATCGCTTTGAGCTTTCGCCAGATTCTCCAGCTCGCATTCCAATTTGTCGGTAATTTCCGATATATCTGTGTAAGTGTCTCCTAGCAAGAGCTCTAAAGGCTTTAAGGAGATCGGGTTTTTAGCTCTATATTTGGCGATAAGGCGCTTTTGAATCAATCGAAACTGAGCCGTTAGCTGGCACAAATTTTCCTGCAAAAATCCTGCAAAATTGAGGCTTTTCCAGTCGTTAGTGGTGTTTGCACTTACCTGTAATTCTTTCACTCGACTCTTTGCAATAAAGTGCTCGTTAGCGTAATTGAAGATGTCACTGGCCGGTAAAGGTGAACTGAAAAAAACCTTGCAGTCTGGCCCACAGTTCTTTTTTAAACGAGCTAGAAGAAGTTCGATCAAAACGGGCAGCATGGTTACGGTATCGGATTGCAAACGGTATTTCTCTGAATGTTTTGCAACGAGAATTGTGGCTCTGTTCCCAGAGGCCCCTTTAAACCCTATGGCATTGGGCGATGCCTGACTATCACAGTATTCTGAAACAATTTCAATCTAGTCCAAATTCGGGAAGTTTTTGATAAAAAACACCTTCAAATAAACTAGCTAACGCCCTAGGAGGTTGATCGGTGGTCAGAGTGATTTTATGCTTATTCTCCTTTTCGGCACCAGCAGCCTCTAAAATTAAGCTACTGGGCAGCAGAGTGAACCGAGTTAAAGCTCGAGGAACTCCAAAAGTATTGATCACAGAAACTTTGACTTCTACAATTAAAGAAGGCACATCTTGCGCTTCATCTAGAAACGCATGGCTGCAAACCCGGGCGGTTTCGCATAAATTGCTAAAATATATTAGGCTTGAGCAAACACCACACTTAATGCTTGTTCGTACCTAAAAAAGTGTATACTGGGCACCACTTTCAATGGACGTTGGACCAAAATTGTTACTTGCACTTCTTGAAACGACGCCTGAGGCACAATGGTAATTTTGAGGCCGCACATGTAGTTGCTGGCCGCATTTTTAATGTTATGCTGAAATGTGCAGACTACGATTTCTGAATCCACTGCAATGGTTACATCCAGGTCTTTTTCGATGTTATTTTGGATTGTTGCATCTAAAGGAAATTCGCATTGATTTTTTATGGTGTTTGCTAATTTGGACAATGTTTTAAGTTCGTTTTATTGTGAGGAATTGGATTCAGGGGCGTATCCAGCTTTAAAGTCAGGGGGGGGGGTTAATTTGGAAAAAATACAGTCTTCTGTTATCTATGAAATTAGAAAAATGATCGTCGTTTTGTTCAAGGGTGGCGCAAGATTATTGCAAAATTTCATGTTTTCCGTCCCGTTTTGCATGTTTCTCGGAATCAAAATGAGCAAGAACTCTTGTTTTTACATCATTCCAGAGGTAACTAAATGGCCTTTATTCGAAGTTTCTCAAGAACCATTCGAGCCACAAAATTCGTTTTGGCATCGTTGGATAGATAATTGAAAAGGCGATTCAGTCGTAACAACGTGAGTGAGGAAATTCGAGTAGTTTTAACCCAGAAAAGAAATTTGAATATCAAACACTTGGGTTCAAGATTATGCCAACATTTCATGTTTTCCGTCCCGTTTTTGCTCATATCTCGGAGGCAAAATGAGCAAGAACGCTTATTTAGTACATCATTTTAGAGAGAAGTAAATGGCCTTTTTGGAAAGTAAACCATCGATAAGGAAATGCTGGCCGTTTTCTTAAAAACTGCTTGAATTCCAGAAGTTTTAGGTTTGCGTGGTTTTTTTTTCAGTTGCAAAATCCACTTGAACATGACGCTGCTTTTTTCGAAGTTTCTCAAGAACCATTCGAGCCACCGAATTCGTTTTGGCATAGTTGTATAGAGAATTGAAAACTCGATTCAGTCGTAACAACGTCAGTGAGGAAATTCGACTAGTTTTGACCCAGAAAGCGAAATTTGAATATCACACACTTAGGTGCAAGATTATGCCAAAATTCCATGTTTTCCGTCCCATTTTTGCTCATTTC